TAAAGGACCGCGGTGGTAGATAAGAGAGCGAAGCGCGAGAGTTACTGTTTAGAAATCAGTTTAAGTTATGAGTATGAGTACGTGACGGAATCAATGATGCTATATGACATGGAGAGACACGAGGGAAATAAACGGAACTGGAACTAAAGAAGAATAGAACACCCAGATCGCTGCAGAGAGTATTAAAAATCAGAAATTAGCGTTATAATTACTAGATTATGGATTAGTCCTAACACGGCTGTTGTTACGTCCCACGTAACGCTCCCTGCATGTGCATTCGTAATAAGTAAATATATATATATATAAAATCCTGCACGTGCATCGGCTCGCGCATCGGACTGAGACCGGGAGGCCCATGTCGCTTAAGAAAATAGTAAACCTGTCATTTTTTGTTTAGACTCAAGCAATTCGGGGCCACCCTGTTTCGGTCCCGCGACCCGCCGACCCTGGGAAATAGCGAGTAAGACAGCGGGGTCCCTACTTGAAGACTCATAAAATCTAGGATAGGGAACAGGGACCCCCGCGATAACCGACACCACCCCTGCACGTGCGAGGCCATAAATTCGGCTCAAGTTTTAAACATTTACTCTTCCAAAAAAAAGGGGTAACGTCAAACTCCCTCTCCTAGCAACATTTTTTCCTAAATTTCCCCACTCCAAGCCAATTCCTCCAACCAAAGGTCCCAAAATCCCACTCATCCCCCGAAATCCTGATTTTCCAATTCCTCTTCCAATTAGAGCCTTCCAAATCCCACTCTTATACATTTTGCCCATTTAACAATTTTTCCAACTCCCACCACTCCAAATTCCTCCAATAGGAATTTGACTTTTACCCTTACCCAGATTTTGGGGCCTCAAACGTCGGGGGTGGAAAACATATAAAACTAGCGTTCAAGCTGCGAGGACAAGATTATTTTTCCAATCCAAAAAGCGACCAGAATCTCTTTTTCGACTACACGCTTTACTGAACCTCGGTTCTCACTTAGTCCATTCGCGACCGTTTATTCGAGGATCCAGCTCCAAGGGAATATTATAAGGTATTTAGAAACACTCACAAACACACACACACACACACACGAACTATACACATGTAAACCCATTTCCCCTTTCTTTAATAAACCTTGTTAAATGAAATTCTTTTCTTTTTTTTTTTCCTTCCTTTCGAACCAATACGGATAAGTCCGCGTAGGACTCGCTGAGGGGACCCATAAATTTCTATCTCTCACCGATTCCCATTTCCCAGGTTAAATTCTTCCTTTTTCCTAAATCGTGCAGGAGGATACGGAGCCTTTGTGCGGCTTCGCTTCCTCACGAATTTCCTTCTTTCTTTCCCCTAATCGTGAAGGANGACACGAAGCCTTTGTGCGGCTTCGCTTCCTCACGAATTTCCCCTTCCTCACGATCCCAGACGTAACACTGTTCAGTCGAATTTGATTTTTGGAGAGACAACCTAAACGAAGTGTGACCCGGAGAGAGTTTCCGGAGGGTGGAGTTTTGGCAAGGACTTCGAGTCTTTGGAAGTCGATCTCGATGGGGGAAGATAAAAAAAAAACGATAGGTCGATGAGGTAAACGAAATTCATTTTGCTATGCAGCCGATTGGTTAAGGAGAAGCGAGGAAAGGGAAGTTAATAGAGTTGAAGAGGCGTGAATGGGGACTGCAAATTAGGATGTCGAACGAGGACTTCTGAGTAGAACTGGGAAAAGGACTAAGGGACGATGGAGACAAATTGCCCTTACTTAGAACGGACCGAACTTCAGAAACTTAAGCTGAAGTGGTAAAGATATAAACTGTCCTGCTCGGAACGTTAGAGACGAGTTTGCAACTGAAGCGAGCCAAACATCACATGAGCGAATCAAAGGCGATGGAAATGAATACTTGAAGAAAGGATCTTCAAAACTGAAAGAAAGGGACCGGCGCATTGACCACGGGGGGTTAATGGCAGTCGTCGACTCTTAATAGAGCGGTTAGGTTGCAAGGACTGCGCAAAGGGTCGCGGAATACGAGCTCAGGTACCCTCGACCCGTTAGTGGAGAATAGATTTAATTTGTTTTTAGGATAAACTAACGCTCTAGTCGCGAGGATGTCAAATCGGCCATAGCACACATTCTGCTATACATGTATACTTCGTCTCGGTTTCAGTACTTACTTGAATTCCAACTCCTTTGCTGAGGGCCTGGTACTATTATTCACTCCACCTGTTACAAATAAATCTTCCAAAGAATCGATGTTGCAAAACCTAACCCTTTACCTTCATAAGAAATGTAATACTTATCTAATGATTTTAAAGATGAAACTAAGGCTTTTTTCCTTCTCACTTTCTTCTGAAAACATGTTCGTGTCCCAGATTTTGTTTGCAATGAATATTGCATTTACTTGCCCGGGACGAAACACAACAAACAGGCCACACACCATCACCCCACACCTAAGCCCAAAGTGGTGACCCCGACGTGATTGAACACGCACACGCACAAAAACCTTCTACCTTTCGTCCTATTCCAGACTTCTAGCGACGACTCGCCTCTCTCCCGCTCTCTGGCAACTAGCCTCGTACGCACGCGCGTGCGCTTCCTAGCCTCGTACGCATCGGCGCAACCAGCCACGTACACACACACACACACACACACTGTACGCAACGGCGCAACCAGGCCACGTACTCGCACGGCTCACATTGTACGTGGCTGATTATTATCGTACAACGGCGCACTCTAGCCTCGTACACGGCACGCACTTTTCAACCGCCAGCAGACCTCATATATCGTTGTCACTGGCGGGGGAGTACTGTGGCGGTCATAGCATATATATATTAGAAGTTCTTCCTTCGACACAGGCCTTCGATAGCCCAGCGGTTACACTCACCGCTCATACCATGTAGTCTCTCGGGTTCAAATCCCGCTCAGGAGAGATTTTTCGGTGTCTAAGGCAGGGTCTGCCTGATAGCCTTACTGACGAGTCCACACACAGGCAGACCCGGGACGAAACACAACAAACCGGGCTACACACCATCACCCTACAACACCTAAGCCCAAAGTCTCATAAAACAGGGAGTAACAGCAGCAATCAATGACGGGTAAATTTTTAAAAATTTCTGATTTTTTGGGTTGATTGAAAGTTCATTCCTTTATCTGTAGCAATAAAGAAATGATATTCCAATATCTCCCACTCCTGAAATCTCAATCCTTACTGTATAGAATTCTGTAACATCTCGCTGGAACTCAACGCGCAGGGCGAGCTTCTTGCATCACTCGACGCTACAATTTTCTCGCTCAAAAATGTGTTTGGCTCGAAACTAAATCGAGTTTCCGTACAGTAATTATAAAAAAATCAAGATGAAATTTTAGATATCGCCTAGATTCGTGGTTTTGGATGCTTTAAATGACTGCAAAGTGCCACCCTGTGTCATCTGTTATTTCAGTGGCAACTAAATTTTCTCTACGAGACCTCGTGTTACCATCGTTTTAGCACAGAAACGCATAACACACTTTTTTTGCCTTTATTCCGTCCAGATGAAAAATGTCTCGATTACCAGAGTGTTCTAAATTGTTGTATAATTGTCTTAACATTTTCGTTTCTCATATCAGAGCCTTCAATAACTGGATATTGATCGAAATATGAGAGCTCGTCGCCATCTTGTTGTTAGTTCTGGTCTAGGCTGTCGAAAATTTGTTTACTAAAATTCAAATTTTGAAAGTGTCAGGATAATTCTTAGGCGTTCACGAGTTATGTGTCAAAATTTCGAACAGTTCAGTACAATACCCTTAGATAAGTGTTTTACTTAAATCGACTTATTTAAAGGGGTTTCATTTCACTTTAAATGCGACAGTTCATTTCGTTCGTAGATTAATAAACTGTAAAACAATTTTCGATCCCGAAGACCTGATAATGGTGATCTGAAACTGGCCTTTGAATCGTCAAAATTACAAAAAATTTTATTCAGGACTGGATGCACCAAATCATTTGAAACTTTGGCATGTAACTATGTAGGTCCTAATAAAGATCTTGAAACTTATAAAATTTCATTTTTCGATAAAAATGTATTTACTTACTCCAGACTAGAACCAAGAACACATTTTTTTATTGTTTCGCCGATCGAAGAATTGATACCGGATACTTGCGGGACGTAGGCGTAACAATGTAAAATACTATAGTAATCGATCATTACAGATTCATGCGGGAAATATCGAGAGAAGTTCTATAAAGATGTGCTGGACAATTTTCGGATACTCCGTGATCAGCACGTGCTCTCTAAGTACTCTCTAAGAGCAAAAATTTAGTTGCTGCTAAATGTGGTAGATGGTGCCATTGGTCATTTAGGGTATCAAAACTTATAGACCCAGGGGATTTCTTAAATTTTTCATCGATCTCTTTGTAACCAGTCTACTTCCCTGACATATAGAATATTTTATTTCGTCTCATTTCTAATGTCGCGTGTAATTGGCGTCAACATAAATATAAATGTCGGTAACATGGCGCACCAAGTTATGTTACCACTCAAGTATTCAAAGTCACATTACTGTCGAAAAAGATATAGATGAATTTTATTTTGTCGCCGTCAATTAAATTTCTTTGAGCCTTTAATTTTATCTTTAGGTTAGCACTTTCTCAGTAAATCTATGCAAGGAACGACATTTCCTGTTCAGTTTGGCGCGACAGGCAAAACTTCGCAGATAGTGACTATGAATGATTCGCACCTTATACAGTGCTCATAAAGCTTCGTATTTATATGCGCTTTTATATGTATTTGGCACGAAACTGTACCTAGTTTCTTGATATAATTCCAACCGAAGACACTAATACTGGCCGTAACAGGCGGTACTGATATGAACAGATAATTCAAAAACGCTGATACGGATTAAAATTTTTCATTGGTATCACAAGATTATATGGATTTATCTGCTTTCGTTACATTCCTTGAGATTGTTTTTTTTTTTCCAAAGTGTGTGGTTCTCGATCTTTCTAAAGTGTTTGCCGAGATATGCAAGAAACCTCTTTGTGTTTCAGGTATGACGGAAAGCATGAGGAAACATCCGGTTCTTCTTTACGTCCATGGAGAGAGTTACGACTGGGGTAGCGGAAACCCCTACGACGGTAGCGTGCTGGCCAGCTACACGGACCAAGTGATAGTTACGATGAACTATCGGCTGGGTGTTCTTGGATTTCTCAATGCCAACATTGCGCCGCACTTGAAAGCGAGGGTCGCAAATTATGGGCTTATGGACCAGATCGCCGCCCTTCATTGGGTCCAGCAAAACATTGCGCTTTTTGGTGGGGATCCTGGAAACGTAACCCTCATGGGGCAGGGTACAGGTGCAGCTTGCGTCAACTTTCTCGCCATCAGCCCGACAGTCATGCATGGTGAGTATATGTTGCAACAATTCTTACCTTCGAGCGATATTACCAGAAATCAACTAATTTCACACCATAATCAACATGGATTATAGTTCCATTTCAACTACACAAGGCAAGAAATAGCAGGAACTTTTTTCCGAGATTGTTGCATGTCTGCGATGCAGATATATCTATGACTCTGATAAGTAGGATCGTTTCCACGTTATAATGGTCTGTACTTGATCCGAGCTCTTGCACTGGGTGAGATTTGAGTTTATTTATTTAAACTCGACTTGAGAATCCTATTCCAGTCGCGACGATTGACTGGTGTAAGGCTTGGCGGAGGTTATGGTAATTGGAATCTGCTGCAATACAGAGCCGATAGGAAGTTGATAGAATTTGGTGGAAGGATGTGAGCTACAAGGAGGTGGGACGGCGGCCGTGACAGGCCCACTGGTTTTTAGTTCCTGAAAATAATCAAATAAAAGGGCATACATTCGCTTCGGGGTGTTTAGCCCTACCTCGGTTCGTGGGCGGCAATACCTGGTTCTCCGAGAGTATGAACGGATCCCGTCACGAACGGCAGGTGATTTTCTCCGTCCGCGGGTTCAGCAGAATCCAAGTGCAGTTTGAGTTCCAGTGACTTATTGATTCGAAGTTCACGATTGACGTCTTTCCCATTAGAAATTCACAATCTAAGTGCAGTTCGCGATACTTCGCGCTTTCGGTCGGCGGTCCCCTTTCCCAGGGCTCCCTACTTACTCGCAAATATCGCTGCGCATGCCCGAATTTCGCCGAACTAATGGTCGCGGTACACTGGCGCACGGTCACTGTTAGACCCGTTACAATGTTTTGACGTTTGTACACAGTGGGAATAGTTTTTCTTACTAATAGTAGGCGGAAAATCCAGCGTAATTACATGTGGTATCTAAGATCATTGTGTGATTCGTCCGTTGTCGGCATTCAGGGTGATTCTTGGTGGATTGTGTTCATAACGTTGTAACACAAAGTGGCAAGAAGAGTGACGTTAAGGTTGACATTGCAATATTTCCTACCCAACAGGCATAAAACGATCGCTAAATTTATGCTCGAACATCTACGTTCACAAATGACTGATTTTTTTAAATAGAAAATACACTTAACTCTCATTATTTTTGCAAATGTTTCCAAAGTTTCAATGTTTGTAGTAATTTCGTTATATGAATAGTTTAAATTTATGATTTTTACAAAACGGCCTTTCTTCCTAACGTCCGTCTCTTTTGTCGCAATATGACGTTCCTGACGGCCTTCCAAGATGGTCGAGGTAGGTTCTGACAAACATTTTCGCGAGCACGTATTGCACACTCACACAAATGTTCCTGTGCGTCATGTTTTTTCGAATTTACGAAAATTTTCTGCAAAATCGCACTCAAGCTGTGCATAATATCATTCAAAATGTAGTGGTTTCAGGCAGGTGAATTCGCCGTTGAGGCGAAAGTAGCGTCCTTTTTGTGCACTCCACTGAGACTTCTACCAGTGCTTACCAATGTATTAGCGATGAATTCCGACGATTCCTAGAAGCCCATTGCTATAGGCCGAAGTAAAACCCTACTCCAAACTCTACAAAAATTACTGCACTCTCAAAACTCGGGCTCAGCAAGTGCGGCGATGCTCCTTCGGTGCTTAGCCCACCGAATGCGCCGATCTTTCCCAGGCAGCTGCGGGTGATAAGGACGGCCGCGATGGAATCGGTTACGGCAGCGATCAGAGGCTCGTACATGTCCGTACCGCTCGACGCTCGAAGATCAAGAAGACCGGGTCCTCGCCGTGGTCCTCCGGGCAGGCTAGGCGGCGACTTAAAGTTCTTGATGATTGGCCGTCATTGGCTGCCAAATTGTGCTGGCCAATTGACAGCAATCAAACTCGGGATTCTCCTAAATTTCGAGCGCTGTCAGCCGCGGCGTGAGCCAGCCTGGAGCACGTATTCGCGCGCTGCATTTGAGGCGCGCCCGCGGTCCAATCGGGCGCACGGCTGGAGCGTAACGTCATCGGGCTGGCGGTGGATGTCGTCCAGAGGCCTAGCTTTTCGGGGTTTCGGTGGCGCCGATCCAGGGCTCCCTTGAGCCAAAGTTCCTCGAGATGTAGACCGAGGTTGCCGACATCCCCTGATGCGACGGCTCCCGGGTGAGAGGACCCTCGGGCCCTTCCGCCCTGGGGTCACCGCACCCTGGCCTCAGCGCAGGAGGGCGACGCAAATAGGACACCCTTCGCCGCCCTTTTAGGGACTCCCTAGAAGCAAAGGTGACGCGGGGGGGGGGGTCCACGACCTCCGGCAAAGCGCTCTCCTCTCGCCATCGGTGAGGGGCCGGAAATCCGTATACGGACAAGGTGCCCCAGCGACGCTGCCATGGGTCGGCGCTTACCGTCAACCGCGGGACCGCAGGTGGCTTGGCTTGGCCCTACTTCGCGCGGACACGGCATCCATGGGCGGCGGCGGGACGAGGCTCCTTTGCCACCGTCACTCGTCCTCTTCCGGGATCCCTCCGGAATCCCCATGTCCCGCGATGGATGTTGCCATCTTCGTGTTGTCCGCACTCGCCTCACCGCGAGGACGTCCTAACATCTAAACTACACACTACTTATGTTATCAAAAAACATTAAAGGTGGCGCAACGGATATTCGACCTTCTCGGCCTCGAGCGTCGAGCGTGCTGAAATAAGACGTAGATGAAGTAAATGCAAATAAAATATAATTCCACTGCCTTCGGAAAGGATTTTATGTTTTCCAGGATTAATGATTAACACGGGGAGCCTTGGGATGATCGCCCACAGGGTGCATCGTCACAGTACATGATCTAATATTGTACTTAAAATATCATTCCAGTGCCAGATATACATGAGGAATATTTTCCAAGTTCTTTTCTATATTCAATGTGTTCGTACCCTAATCGCCATGAACTAAATGAGTCAAGTGTACATAACGCGACCTCATTATATCCGTCGGAATTCAGATATTCTAAGAATCATTTCAGTTTATAACTCAATCCTCTTTTTGAATCATAAATAGGCTACAGCTATTTAAGCTTAAATTCACTATAGATTTTAGGATAATGTGTAAAGGTAACTCGGAAAAGAGCTGACCTTCCATCACATCCGCATCTGGCAAGCAGCCGATCCTTTAGGAAATTTTTATTGCCGATCGAGACAGCTGCTTCGTCATTTTGGAAAAGACTTTCGCCCGTTCAGGTAACGGTACCTCCCACTACAAGTGCTTCCCTTTCCGTGCGACTCCTTTTTGGAAAAACCTAAAATTCAGCGATTTTCGAACACCCTATTGGCGCAGCGAATCTCCTCCCATATTTTGAAATACCAATTAGCTGATGTATCACTACGTGGCCACGCCTACCTGATGTTTGTTAAAAAAAAACATTTTTGTACAAGTCAGAATTCATTAAACACTTGAGGAGAGAACAACTCTTGATTTCTCAGATATCTCCTCATCCTTAGGCGACGAATTTAAGGGTTCTTCACCATTCTCGTGGAAAGCGATTTAAAATCAAGTCGCGAATAACCTATAAGCTTCGCCTCACGGTTACATTTTTTGGTCCTTCGAGCCGGATATGCCTATCATCTCGGAAGCTGACACGCGCCCAATCACGCGGCGAACAATTCATAGAAACACGGATCGGATACGCGAGTGAACTTCGTGAAGTTTCAAGGCAAGAAACTCGTCTCGATACGTTGCGTCAGCATCCTCGTGAAAGCAGCGCAGTGATAGGTAATCACTAAAACAACCGTGACCACGTGGAAGACATTCACATGGAGATACAGCATCTGCGGAGCCCCTGAGACGAAGAGGGAATAACAGTCAACCCGAGGCATCCAAGTCAGCCGAGTCATTCGACTTCTTTAAGGGTAACAAGTAGTGAGTCATTAAGTCGCTATTCCTCCTCTTATCTTTCCCTTCGATCCCGCAAATTAAGGTACACCGAAATGTCGGCAGATAAAGTTAAATCCTTGAAACAAGCGCGGTACTCTTAAGGCGCAATTAACACGATTCCAAAGAACCATTTCATAATGTAATGAAACGAGTCAGGTTCCCACGATTAGGGCCTTACTAGATCGCGTTAAGGACACATGGAAGGAGTACGACGATGTGCAAACAGAAATCGAGTTATTGGAGGAAGCGGAAACTGGTACGACGTCGAGTGGAGAGTCAGATCGCGTCGAGTTCGAAAATAGATGGCTTCAAGTAGTAGGACAGGCGACCGCGTTTATCGAATCGTTCCGACAACGAACAATTCTAATTCGTACGGCTAGTAGTATTCCATCTCCGTTAACTACTCATGAGAGCAATGCCCATTGTAGGTTACCAAAAATTGAATTGTCAACCTTTGACGGAGTTTACGATAGATAGGTCAACTTTCGCGATTCCTTTGCATCCGTGATAGATTGCAATCCTTCACTTCCTGCACGACAGAAACTTCACTACTTACGCTCTTGCCTAAAGAGAGAAGCTGCTGATATTATCCACTCTTTGGAGCTAGCGGAAGACAATTATCAAGTCGCCTGGAATCTTCTAAAGAAACGTTACAATAATGAACGCTTAATTATTCTTAAACATGTTAACGAGATTCTTACCGCTCCTGCACTAAAAAAGGCAGATGCTTCTCAATTGGGCCAGTTACTCACTACTGTACGACACCTTAGGGCTCTTAAAACTTTGAAACTACCCACCGACTCTTGGGATACATTACTTATCGGAATAATACTTAGCAAATTTTATAAGGACACACGCGATCGGTGCGAGGAATCGCTCTCCGATTCTCGAATGCCAACATTCAAGGAATTGTCGGAGTTCCTGGATAAAAGCCAGCAAACTCTCGAAGCAACGAACCCGAAACAATTTGAGGTCATTGTTAACCCTGTTACGTAGGTACCTTCCGTACCCTAACATAGGGAAAAACCCTATTTTTCAATCACCGGAGCTAGCCATGGAAATCCGAGTAAAGAAACGCGAAACTCTTGCGAAAGAATCCAACGAGTTCA